AGTAAGTTAGTTTTGTTTTAAAATACCTACCATACCATATAACATACCATATAGTTGTTAATTGCCCACTGCTAAATATAGGCCTCTCCCAATTGGGAGAGGCCTATATTTATATCTATATTTTTTGCCAGTAGTTGCCACCCTTGACAGGCGGGTTGGCAACCGCAGTTAGGCCTTAAAGATGTTTTAAGAGAGACGCTGATGCCCATCCCTTGACCATTAAGCTCCCCTATTCGCTTCTTACGACACCCACGGGAAAGGAGGTGTAACCTATTCTATGGCAGGAATACACAGTGATATATACCATAGTTAGTATAGTGTTACATTATCTGTTAATTATAAATGTAAAAGTTTAAAAAGATGTTTGTATGTTTCTTACTCAATTTGCCAATTTGCATGTGAAATGTTACATGAAATGTGAAATGTTACTAGGTAACTTATAGTCTACATAAAAAAATTACATGTAAAAATTCTCCGTCTACCATTTTATTAACCCTATACTGGTTTAGCACCAAATCCTGACATGTGTACGTTAATCCTTCTATCCTCGATGGTGCAATGCGGTCGCGACATTGACTGAGGGACGAACAGGCCGGAGGATTATTCTATCGGACGCGGGTCCTGATTTCCCTTTATTAAGATAAATATACGTATTTGTAACAAGATACGTCTAAAATATATTGATAGTTTCTGTAACATTAAACGTTTGAATAGTTAGAGATACTATATATACTAGGCATAATTATTATTATTTTATTACCGGGTGGATAGGTCTTCACAGGTAAAGATTAGATAACCATTGGTATATCTAATAAAAGAGGTCTAAGTATTACAAATAATACCTCAAACCTCAGGAGTGGCAATATGAGAAATAGAATCTGTAATACCCACGATGTTTATTTCACTATATTCAATTAGGTCATCCGAAAAAAAGTACCTATATAACACTATAGTCGTTCTGTACAATTGGTGAAAATATCATATTTGTTAATTTTAAATATATATAGCGTTTTTGTATTTGGGAGGAAGTTGGGAACAGATAAATAGATGTGTATCGATTCCCAAATTCCTAATATATAGATTTTACATAAACATTAGCATTACGTATAATAAATGAAAAAAGTATACCAACTTTGCTATAAGTAAGCGAGAATTAAGCGATGGTCCCGAACGCAGACCGCACACTTGTTTAAATCCTTTAACTCGAACATGTTTGTTAGTCCGGGATAGGTCGCACATCGTCGGTACAGACAGTGACGAAGTGTGGGTCATACGGGATTACTTTATCAACCGACCGACAATAGTGTACGTACCTACTAGTGTAGCTTTATTAAATACAAGGTTTTTTTCTTTACATTTCCGAATGGTATTTATTTTTTGTTGAACCTTGTTTCTATATCATTTATTGAACTATAAAAATTGCTATGAGTAACATACACTATTGTATTAATATACATAGATTTTTGTTAAAATTTATTACAATGTCAAACTCATCTCTAAGTAGAAATCTGTAGGTTAATATAATTATGTTACATTGATACTGACAAAAATATCAATATTAGTGGTAAAATTAATAAAATTACACATTAAAGAATTAGTGAAAAATAGTGTTTCTATGTAGTAACAAGTGTGGACTGAAAGAGATGTTACATTCTTTTCCGTTAAGAGAGGATTGATGAAAAAAATTACAAAGTTTTGTCAAGCACGAATGAATTGATATATTGATAGGGAAGCTCCTAGATGAACATATTATTTTAACCAAACGGACCAAACAGACATGTTGAAAAAATGCTAAGTAAATAGTAATTATTTATAATCTGAGAGTTTATATAAATAGATTGTTAAATTGAAATATTCCGTTAGGTATGTTTTATATGTATACATCTCAACACCAAATATTCGTCTTAAATCATTGAAAAAATATATTACTAAACACAGACTGATAGGCACAACAACAAAGCATCCATCAAAAGTAATTTAATATTATATGTCATAATAAAACAAATATTACACAACGTATTATAACAACTCCTTCCATAATTAAAATTAATAATTTCATAATCCCGACGTAACATAATTAGAGACAGCAGCCAGCGGTTCTGAAGTTTCAGAGTTTTTGACAAAATTGTCTTATTCTCTAAGTCTTGTTAAACTCTTAATTACTTTCGCTGGTAGTCCGCAAACATTCATCTCGTTACGAAAGATATAGGCTTCATTATTTACTCGTCCTCACACGTTGTTTCTCTGCAAATATTTACCTCTCAACGAGAGACCTGACTTCACCCGCGGGTCCCGTAATAAACTTTTGTGGATTGCGGTTCCTATATGTTCGACAGGGCAATCGTTATACTGTTTAATGGCTTACATTTGGTTTTAATTAACGTTTCATATACGTCGTATAATCAAATCTTCCTTTGTAATGCCTACAACTAACATTTAATGTTAAATTGGATTTCAGTCAAATTAATAATCGTTGCAAACGTTTATTAATGTACGTTAATATACATATTAGTGTGTTGTATTTAATTGTAATAATATTCAGCAATCTCTTTATAAAAATATATATAAAAAATTTACATGTTATTATGTACATATTCGTCATCATCAATTATATCACCCGTTAACTTTCCACCGATAAAAATAGGCCTTGCCTATAAGGAAGATTTTGCCAACTTTGGAGTTTTTGTCGTCACGCTTGGCATACGGTTTGACAATCACAAATAGACTTTGGTGATGTTTTAAGAGAGACTCTTCTGCCCGTCCCTAGACCATAAATTCCCTTAGTCACCTTTTACGACACCCATGGGATGGGAAGAGGTGGCCCATTCTATATCACATGTTAATTACGATTATTACTTATTATTTTTATGTCAATAAAAAGATCAAAATTTTAAGGATTTAGAAAAAAGTTCAGTTGAGCTTATATAAAGAATGAGTTCATATTAACTCTACAAGTATAATAAATAAATAGATGAAGTACGATACTTATAAAAAAACGATATATGAATAATATCTTTTTCTATGCTATAAATACTAGTAATGTACCAATATACCAGAATAAACAAGTCTCGAATGCTACATTTCTATAATAGGCATCATTAATCACCTATCAAGGAAGCGTAGCAGAAATAAAATATGGCAATTCGTAGTCCGCGGAACGGCGCTGTCAAGTGCGATGATGTATTTGAACGTTTTCATGAAAACCAGTGAGCGCTTTGTCAAAGTCCGCCATTAAAGGTCATCGCTCATTGGGTTGAGTATGGATTGTAGCACGGAAGATCTCTAGGGACACGGGTGTACCTACCTATAAATGTATTTATGTATATTAGAATATATTATATATATTCGTGTATATTAGAAGTGGTTTAAATAATCTTGACACTAAAGGGGAACACTCTGACACGACAAGTAAATAGCAGTGAAATAATAATATATTATTTATAACCGTTATTTTAAGTATTATCTATCTATCCATTTAAGAGCTGCGCTCTTGTCGGTGGAGCTCTTGCCGCTCACTACGATTTTCAGCGAGTCTCTTCACCTCTTGATACGACACGACACCAACTCCTTCCTTGATCTGCCTGATGTAACTATGTCTCGGTCTCCCTCTCCCCCTTCTTCCTTCTATCTTACCTTCTATTATAATGTTCATAAGTTCGTCGTGTCGTATCAAGTGTCCTAACATTTTTCCCCTTCTGTCCTCAATAGTTCTAATAATTTGTCGTTTTTCCTTAACCCTAAGCAGGACCTCCTCATTGCTAATTCGATCCCTCCAGCTAATTTTCTCCATCCTTCTCTAGCACCACATTTCAAAGGCTCTAAGTTAAGGCTTTAAGTATTAATTTGTTGCATAAACAATGTACAGCACGTTTATACTAGAACTAGCTAATTACTCGCTAGCACTAGCTAATGAAACACGCCAGTTTTCGATTTAGTGCATACCCTCACATTCATTTTGGTACAGTAATTTTTACTAGATACCGGAAACAATTTGGTACCATAGTTTTAGTGTAATGCCGAAACAAACATATAGACAGATGGACAAAATTTTTCTCCGATTCTGTTGCTATATATTATGCAAGATTCCCTCATGTAAAGTATCTTTATATAAGAGAAGATTTGTTTTAAGCATTGAAAAAATTTCAATTTGGTCGTTACATGACTTTTATAATGCATATTTTGTATAAAATTAAAATTGATAATTTATAAAGAAGTTAAGAACTACGATAGTAGAACAGTTTAACATTGGTTAATGATGAATATATTATTAGTAGAATTATTAATAATTTTTCAATCTACAAATGGGTTATTACTACATGCATTTTTTAAACTAATAACTTTTATAATGCACATTAAACATAATATGCAATCATAATGAAAGTAAAATTACTATTAATAATATACCATTGTATTACATATTTTATGAAATTATAACTTAATGTTGTATTATTTATTTTACTAATAGAATAAAATAAGAGAGTGTATGCTTCATTTTACATTTATTTTCAAAATGTCAATACAGTTGTCAGACAATTTCAAAATTAACACATACTTTTGGAAAATTTTTGCCATATGGCCTGGAAAGTTATCAAATAAATTTTACAAATATTTTTCTTTTATGTATATTTCAATCAATTTGGTAATTTACAACATACTTCTCACCATAAACTTGATTTATACACCAAAGAAGATCGAGATGCTAATACCAGAAATGATATTTTTTTTTACTGAAGTTTCTGTAACTGTAAAAGTTCTGATGACTATCGTAAATCGAAAGAAGATAATAGTAATACTGGATCTCATGAACTGCGATGAATTTAAAGGCGAAGACTTTAATACTTCATACATTATCGAAAAAGATATGTCAATCTACAAAATGGGCTGGAAAATTAACGCGACTTTAAGTAACTTTGCATATGCATCACTGATATTTTTACCAATAATAATGAGTTTTATTTTTTTTTTTTTTTTTTTTTTTTTTTTATGCAACTTAGAATGACAAACAAGCTGACGGCCCACCTGATGGAAAGTGGTAACCGTCGCCTATAGACATGAGCAGTACCATGGACATAGCAGACTATACTGTTTCACCCATGATACCCCCATGCGTTGCCATTCCTGAGGACTCAGGTGTTATTCCTCTGTACCCTGTAAATTCACGCCATATCCCACCCTTCAAACCGAAACACAGTCATGCAAACACAACTGCTTCACGGTTGAAACACGAATGGGACAGAGGTGCCCAAGCAATCGACTTTTGTACAAAGTCTCCCTCTGGTATTTGGAATACAAAATTAGAGTTACCGACGTGTAATTACTACTTCCTCTCCGACGATATCCGAGATGATTATTTCATATATTGGTTTATTTATCAATCATTCGGAATGTACGGCCATATGATGTATAATGTCAATATAGATACATTTATTGCTGGTTTAATATTCATTGCAGTTAGTCAAATGAAAGTACTCAATTTCAAATTGTTGAATTTAAAAGTGAACGCCAACTCTGGATTGGATGAGAAAGAGCAAGATCGTCTACAGACTTTAAAACTTACCAAGTGTTTAGAACATTACAATATCCTTCTAAGGTACTTTGTTCATAAATAATTCTGTTACTTTCTCTGTATTTGACTGATTTTTTATTTGAAAAATAGACCCCGTCAGTGAATATATCTCAGTTACACGAACAAAATCGCAGATAAAAACTAATATATATTACTTTCTACTGTAGTTGTTTCATTCGCGAATTTGTCCCTCTCATAATATTATTTTATTATTTAGTTTTCTCCCTAATTATAGATAATACTTACTATTTAGTAAATAGTTATTATAAAAATATAAGTTCATTTGTTTATCCCTTTGTTAGCGTCTTCACTACCTCACAATTGTTATAAAATTTGACATACTCGTAATGTTTTACGTAGAGAAGGAAACAGTCTACTTTTTATCCCGGTCAAATCAATATGGCCCAGTCACGTGGACGAAAATGCGAATACAGTTTCTTTCTTAGCAATTTAAGTTTCCTTTTATAAGGGCAACTTGTTAAATTCATGTATCTCTGCACAACTTTCTTGCTCATCATTTAGATCTACCTAATTGTTTAATAAATATTTATAGATCTTATACTCATAAATTAATTTTATTTTCTATCATACAAAAATGTATTAGATAGACATAGTCATATCAAATATATAATTTAAAAAAATATAGTTTAATATAACTACAACTAATATTACTATTATACTACTCCTATTGAGTATACTTGCTCAATAGAGTGAAGCATTATTTCACGCCGGAATACCGCTTGAAACTGTATAAAGATCAAGTCAGGTCACATATGAAACACTGTTATTAACAATAGCCAGGAGCGTTACAGTACCAGCTTCTTCCCTTAGACCGCTTTCAATTTCGGGCGGCTCGATTTATTGAGGCTCAGCGTCTTACTATTCGACTCGACCTACTGAAAGTGTGTAAAGATTTTACATCTCTGTGCATCTTCTACTGAATTTATCACGGGGAGTGCTCTGAGGAATTGTTTGGATTGATTTTCACTACCGTATAATCCGCCACAAACTAAAGTTTCATCCCAACCAACTGAACGAGTGGCGGTCTTCTACCCTGTGTTTTTAAAGCACTTTCTTCCACGTACAACCACTCTTTGGAATCAACTTCCAGCTGCAGTATTTTCAAACCGATACGTCATCAAAACCTTCAAGAAAAGAGCATATTCCTTTTTAAAATGCCAGCAGTACACCCGCAATGCCTTTGGTATTGTATTTGGGTAATCATGGGCGACCGTAGCCACTTACCATTAGGAGAGCCGCATGCTCGTTTACCCTCTGTGTTATGAAAAAAAACTTAGTTTTCACATTATTCTTCTTCATAACGTTTTACTCATCATCATTATCATACCTATTATCCACTGCTGAACAAAGGTCTTCTCTATAGAATGCCATAAGGAACAAGACCATTCCTTATAGTAGTTTACCATTGGGGGAATTTAGGCAGTAGTTATTATACTTAGGAGGCGGATTGGCAACCGCAGTTTGGCTTTTGGTGTGATATATGATGAGAGGGATGCTGCTGCCAATTCCTCGACCATTAAGTTCTTTTACCACCTCTTATGACATCCACGGAAAAAAAAGGTTTGGGCTATTCTATGCCGGGACCACAGGATAACTTTCTAGCATACTTGTAAAATTATGGTAGTATTTGCTATTATTAATATAATATTTTAATATATTGTAGATATTGTATGAGTATTCAAGAAATATTGGATGTAATTATATTTGTACAATTTGCAATGGCATCAATTATCATATGTGTAACTATATACGGACTGTTGTTGGTAAGTTGGTAGTATAATATTATATTAGTAAATTTTTTTATACAACTTAGAATGGCAAACATACTGACAGCCCATATAATGAAAAGTGGTAGAGGGAAAGTAATGGGGATTAGTAGCCTCATTGCTTACAATATATCCTGTAAGTTTGACCTCCTTGCGATCCCTTTTAGAAACTATCGTGCTTAATTCCAAGTGTATTTCATCACGATGGACTAACTGACCTGCTTTTTCATTCTCACTTATCATCCTTCACTGGTACTTTGCCAGCATATATCGTTTGCGCAGGCGGGGATGTATGTGTTTTAACTTAAGGGAATATATTTTAAGTATTTTACAAAAATCCAATTAGTTTGTCTATCTAAACATTATTTGTAACCAAAAATCAATTGAATTGTTTATTTACTACTAATACTACTATTTAATATAAACATATTATTGTTACTACGTAGAAACTGATCTTTTCTCCAAATACCTATTACTTTCCTCAATGATTGTTAGCTCTGTGATAAACATACCTACAATAAACAAAATATTCTGTTACAGCTATCTACTAATAAGAGTTTGATGTTTATGGTTTCTTATTTATTGGCAATGTTATGCCAGATTTTTATTCCTAGTTTTTTGGGGACCTTATTGTCTTTTGAGGTAAGGATGTATATTTTTTATAACTTGTTACTCCCGCCACTTCGTCTGCTTTTACGAGATATTCACTGACCAGGATAATAAGTAGCCATGTCCTTATCAATCCTACATAGAACTCACGTGTATACCAAATTTTATAATGACTACTTAAGCTGTTTAGATTTTAAGAAATAACAAAATTTCACATGTGTATATATTAGTAATGTTACAACGCTAAATAAATAAATTTTTTAAAAATGTTTTTAATTATAGTGGTTTCAAAAGACTGCTGTACGAAAATTAAAATACCCATGCTAAATTGTATAGTCTGATTATTAAAATTCAGTTATATTCCTTTGCAATAAAAAAATACTAGTAACGTCATCTATTTATATTAGATACTTATTATAAAGTTTGTCTTTAAACTTCAAGATATTGCAAAATTTACATTTTGTTTTACAGAGTGAAAATTTAGTATTTGCAGGATATAATAGCGAGTGGATACCAAGGTCTGAAAAATTTAAGAAGATTTTAAAGATATTTATGGAACGCGCCAAAACACCTATCGTATTAACAGGTTTAAAACTATTCCCTCTTTCTCTTGGAACATTTACATCGGTAAATTATATTACGTTAAATAACAGATATCGTCAATAATGTAAAGAATTTTAAATAATTAATGACTAGTTTAAACGTCAATTTGTGATTGCAATGCTTATTCGAGAACGACACCAGAACTTTTATTTAGAATTATTGAATATATCCAAATCTGTTTAGATAAATTAGAAGTTTGATGGAATAAAAAAACTAACTATATATGAACCCTGACAACATTTATCATATCATCCCTTAATTGTCCACTGCTGAACATAAGTCTTCCCATTGAGGAGTTTTACCAGTAGTTGTCACGCTTGGTAGGCAGATTGGCAATCGCAATTAGACCTTGGAGATGTTTTAAGTGACACTGCTGCCCATCCCTCGCCCTCCATTAGTCGTCTCTTACGACACTCACGGGAAAGGAAGGGGTGGCTTATTCTAGGCATTCTATGCTTGAACCACACGGCCTAATATTACACTCCTTTTTGGGCAGTCGGCGTATATAATAAATATGCTTCTGTTTTCCGTATGGTAACGAAGACTTAAGGGGGGAAAAGGGATTATTTATAATGGGGATTAGCAACCCTATTACTAGCAATATACCATGTATCAGGTCTACCTCCTCGCGGTTCTGCCTGGAAACCATCGTGATTGATTCATTGTTTAATTTATCATGTTGGGCTGACTAACCTGCTTCATCTTCACTAGTTAGATGCCCCACTAGTCTATACCGTTTGCGCAGGCGGGGTTACCATTGCATTATAATCCATAAAAAAAACGAAGTCTCAAAGTAAAACATGTTACTACTCCTCTTTTCACAAGGCTTTCAGAAGAGGCAACATTAAATTCAATTCAAAAAGAGAGAATAAAAATTAGAAATAGTTATAAATACCAAGTAGTTATACTTTCTTATAAGGAGAGTCCCGTGCCCAGTCCAGTAGTGAAGACCATAAAATGACAAAAGCTTATTTAACAATTAGGCTACTTGCTTGCTTAGTTTAGAAAAGAAAGTAATAAACTTTGTAGAATAGAAACATGCCCTTATATGTAGACATAACAGATACGACGTTTTGATCGCCATCATATTGATGATTATATATAAATATAGTATTAATATACCTTCTATTTTTCTGCCACTATATTATTTTGTGTATAATTATGTACATTTATTCTTTTTCAGGTTATGAAAACAGCTTCTTCTTTTTTAACTCTTGTAAGAAATGTTCAAGACCGGCAAGATGGGAAAATCTAAAATTTTTCTGTAAAATATAAAAATATATCTTAAAAAGTTCCAAATTAATATATATCAATAAATTTACGTTAATGCTAATATTATATTAATATAATTAAAAAGTTAATTACGTAGCGAATTCAATTTAATATCCACTGTATTAATGTTTCAAAGTAGTAATAATAACTTATAAAAATAATAATAACTTTATTTCCTTAAAGAAAAGTATTATTATTATTTCGTATTATTTCGTAGGGAGGTTCATTGCATATTTGTGCATGTACAAGGTCGCTCGTAAAAAGTATCTTATATACTGGCTTTTGCCTGCGACTTCATCCGCGCGTCAGGGATATATTCACTGACTGGCATAAGTAGTCTATATCCTTCTCCATCTCATATAGTACATCTATTCCAAATTTCATATTACTAACATAAATCGTTAAGGTGTTATGAGATAGCAAATAAACAAACAAAAACACTTTTACATCTATAATACTAGTATATGTATATATTGTGGATACATATTAAAATAAACAAATAACACAAATCGGTACCAGCCTACGTATATTTCATATATGTATATTGAAGAGGAAAATTATTGATACTTTATATTTTTATAGATAAATTTTAAGTATCTCAATACAAATTATTTTTTCAAATTCATTTCTGAATTCAGAAAACATGTCTCATCATCATCTTATCATCTGTTAAAAATCCACTGGTGAACTTAGATCTCCCCCATAAGGAGGATTTCGCCAGTAGTTACTACACTTGGTAGGTGGGTTGACAATCGCAGTTAGGCTTTAGTAATGTTTTAAGAGGGACACTGCTGTATATCTCTCGACCATTTAGTTCCTTTAGCCGCTTCTTACCAACCTCTTACTTACCACATACGAAAGAAAAGGATGACCCGTTCGATGCCGTGACCACCGTGCAGCACCATGGATATAACAGAGTATACTGTTTCACCCATGATACCCCCCTTTGTTGCCATTCCTGAGGACTCAGGTGCTATTCCTTCTTATCCTGTAAATTTACTGTCATATTCCCCCCCCACCCCCTTCTAAACCAAAACACAGCCTTGCAAACAACTGCTTTACGGTAGAAATATGAATGGGATAGAGGTATTCAAGCAAACGACTTTTGTACAAAGTCTCTCTCTGATAAATGTATGGCTATACCCTTAATACAATAATATACACATGTAATATCTCATTGAAATATCAAAACGAATAACAAATTTTTTTTATTATTTAATTATTTATCTGTTAACTATATTTTATTAGCTGGAAATAAAACTAAGTAATTTTATTATTCGTATAACATTTACTTACGTCTAAAGACTTTCTTACTCTAATCCAATAATAATTAAAACAGCTGTTCGTATCCAGAAATTATTTTCGTAGGGAAAATGAAAGCTGGCACCAAATGTCGTAGGCGAAACGCACCTGGTATCGAGAACTTTCCTTTTCAGTAAATACAATTGTAATTCAAATTTAACATTGTGCGAACACAGTTACTTATTAAAGTTATTAATATAGGTACGTACACGTGACGTGAAATACATCAATTCCATTTTTAATAAACTCTAAACTCACAGTAGTTCAATTCGGTTCCAATTTATTTCATTAATAACGTCACGTATTTGAACATTATTAATTTTATTCTATATATCTACCTTTAAATAATAAGTTAAGATTATTTTTATATAATTTATTTTTCCATGCACTAATGAGAGAAATTAAATCATATGAGTAATTATTTCAGTATCTAATATTAATTAGATATCCAAGAGTTTATAACTTACTAATTTATCTATAGAATACTAGTATTTTTCCGCTACTCCGTTCACGTGTATAAAATTAAATTTAATTAAAGTCACGCTAAACTCCGCAGCCGTGCAATCACGGTTTCTGAGTTTAACATGACTGAACATTATGATACAGGATTTTTATATGTTACTAGCTTTTTATCTGATACTTCGTATCCGAAGATTTCAGAAATAGAAAAACCAACGTAATATACCACTTGTATCTGTCATATCAATACCTAATTCAATTTGATGCTGTAGTTTTTGTGTAATGCCGGTACAAACATGTAGACCAACAGACAATATTTTCTTCTGCTTCTGTTGCTACATATTACGCGAGACTTCCCATATTAATTTTTCTTACAATTTATTATATTACTAAAATTGTACATGACAATGGATTTATTTTTATTTATTATAGGATTTAGTAGACTAAATGTTATTTTATAAAAAATTCGCGTATCTAAAGTCACTACCAGATAATATTAATAAGAGTCACTCATTATCTCCAGTTCATAGTTACCTTCATATTGTACATAATACTAAGTTGTATCATCTTAAATAATATAAATTATAAGTTAAAATTTATAAAACGTGTTGTACGTAACTGGATAGTGACAAATTTGATACTTATTATTTTTAACAGAGTTCAAAAAGAAAAAGGTTCTCAATTCGGTTGTATTGTTTTATATGAGATAACATAAATCAGTTATAAAGCGTAAACGTATACTTACTGATTGGTATTATAGAAATGTAATCAAATTCGATTCAGTAGTTTAGTTTTTAAGCTAAAGTAACTGTTTCTGTCACAACGAAAGACGGTATATTTATGGAACACAATCTTAAATTATTTGTACAAGTAGCAAAAAGATGTAATCAAACAATAATATTGTATTTCTACAGATAATATAAGATATTTTATTATTAACTTATGACCAGATAAAGTTCATCCTGCCAAAACAAAACCTCTCTAAAATCTTTCCAGCAATGCACACCTTTTTATCATATCACGAAAGATCTGAATATTAGAAAATTTCATGCAGAATTCCCCGGAAAGGAATAATATAGACAAATGCATATATGCTACGTTGAGCCATCGCTCAAAGCTGTGTTTACCGACAATAGAAATTATTCCCCTCTAAGTATTGTGATGATGCAAAAATACAGAAATACATGTCTACTGTGACGTTGAGTGATGCGTTCCAGGGCGTTTCTCATTGTCTGCCGACTGAAAGAGATTGCACAATATGAAATACTTCAGTCTGAATCGCGGATGCCTCATTGAATACGCACGCCGTCAGACTCCACTTCCTACTAAATATGTATATCAATTCCAACGTATGCATCTTGAATGAATATAGAATATTTTTATCCTTTAATTTTAAATAAAATAATAATTTGGCTTGGGTCCTTGCTTGACCCTAGCGCGCTATCTGAGAAGGATAATAAATGGAGATGAAACTAAGTCATCGCCGTCCATATTAACAAATTCAATAGGTTTCTAATGTAATCCGTATGGAGTTTTAGTAATAGGATCGCTAATTCGCATTAAACGTGCCCATAAATATTTAAAAGGACAGTAATGCACAAGCAACTCTTCTCGTGTTGCAGGTGTTCGTGGGAGACGGTAACAGTATTCCATTAGGTGGACTGTCTGCTTGTTTGCCTCCCTAATAATAAAAAAAACAAGCCATCCTATTTTTTCTAACCTTATATTGTAATAGAAATACAGTTATAACTGTCGCCGTAGTTAAACGATTTGTATTTATTCCATACCATACAACGAATGAACAACAGGACCAAACAAACAATCAATAATAATTAATGAATCAGAAATTATAAACGTAGAAAAAAACGTTGCAGAATAATTAGTAGTGTCATTAATAGATGACCTATTAATATTCCACTACCAGGCACGGATCTCTCTCCCTATAAGAAGCCTACTGTTAACATTGTTGATCAAGCAGCTTGGTACTGAGTTTTATTTCAAATATCCTTCTCTTGCGCTGAATAAATGAAAATAGAAACTAAATTATGTTATAAATAATAAAACTACGATTTCAACTATGAATCATGAGAATATCGTCAATTTTTCATGACATATGCAGTCTCTTTCACATTATATTCATCAGAATGTTATAAAATGTAAAAATATCAAAATTTCATTTTATCCATCTATAAATCTATTTTAAAAAAAATATTCATGTAACTTTATACATAATAATAATATTTATTTCTACCATAATGACACTTTATTTATACATTTTACAAAATCGAATATATATAGACTGCCATTAGGAGTGGACAGAATCCGTACTAGGTTACCCTGTTTTATGGTATTCTGGCCCCCACACTCGGCCGCTGTCTATACAAAGAACGGATAAATAAACCATATTATTAAAAGTAATTATAAAAGTCTAGAAATAATAATAATATAAAATATATTTATATATAAAAATTATATAAAATCACATAACATACTTATATGAAATTAATTACAATAATATATTACTCAACACAATGTATATAATAACAAAAGTAAATTAAAAATGAAACTTTACCGCATAACAGCATATGCATATAAACCGCTGTAGTATTCAGAAAGCAGATCTTCTATTATGATAACGAGGCATGTGCCGGTGTTAGTGCAAATATTCAAATTAAAACGACACAGGAAAGGTTGCTTTGACTCGTGACAAGTGTAAACGTGGGATTTTCAATGCTCCCAGCTCTACATGGAACTCGAATTATTAAAATAGTTTAGAAATTTACACGTAACTTGTATTGAATTAAAACGTAGCGTCAATTACCATCGCGCAGTGATATTTCAAATTGTTAATTTGCTCGTACAAATATTCATTTACGAGAACAACGACTTAAAAAAGGAGACCACTTTGTGTATGTTACGTGACGTTTTGTCTAAATTAAAATCAGTTGTTATGATTCTTTTTTAATAATAATTTGATAAAGTGTCATGCATGTCTCGTATTTATTTTAATGTTTTATTTTCGTTCAGGTTACTATGAACGTTTATAGGATGATTTATTCGCAATTTCCTCTACGTGACTTCTCCATCCTCTATAGTGCATATATACTAAACACTCGTAGTGATTGGTTAAGACGCTAAGAGGTAACAAATAAACAAACTTCCATAGTATCCTTACTATGTAAGTTTGTTTATTTTACGATTAACTCAATTTTGCCTATGATTTTTTTTTTTATTAATTTAGTAAATTACATTCGGATTAACAAAACAAGAAGTAGACAGTGCGATACGAGAACGTTGGATACGTTCTCGTATCGCACTGTCTACTTCGTACGGTTGGCGCCGCAATCTGTC